AAAATCTCTAAATGCAACACAAACACATTTTAAAGTTACTTCAAGGTAGTAAAATAGACCAGCAAAAGTCAGAGAATCCAACATTAAAGCTTCAACCATCTCATTGACTCAACCTACTTAAACAAATTGGCATGTGAATTACTTGATTTAATTAGGCTCTTCAAAATTCGTTTACCTTCTGATTCCACAAATGAGGTATTCTAACAAGGCCTCAAGATTACTATGGGCTTGCCCAGATCTTTTGCTTTACCTTTACCACATACAGTCAAGACCACTGTATGTGGTACTCCCTTGGTTCCTTTGCAAACAACTCATTCTTAAATATGTTCCCACATGTTACTCCTCTTCTTTCCATTGATAACTTCCATGCCTCACTACTTCCCAGCAGAAATTTCTGCTTCTGCAGAGAATGTCCCTATGCACTATTCTCATTTCCACAAAATCCTCTATATTGTCATGTTCTCACTGCTACATACCTCCTACAAATAATAATCAAGTACAAAATTCTATAGTGTCATTCAAGTATTTCCTGTAAAGAAGTCAGCTCTATTTAATGTGATCCAAAGATCACTGTCTTGAATGGGAATCTTTCTATTGAATTAGCTGGCCCTTGAATGAGGCCAGGTAGAACCCAACACACACTATGGAGGAAAAACCAATCCTTGGTTCCTTTTTTTTTCAGAAATAGGGGGCACTTCTGTCTCTAGTAGTGAGATGAAATTCCTTTTGAATCGAATCAATGAATTTCCTTTAATATGGCAATAAGTGAATTAAAGAACTTTAATTATTTTTTCTGTTTCTGATATTCATGATATGAAAAATACAGGGAAACATGACTTATTTAACATTACTTTTATATTAACGTGATAATATTTTGTACTTTTTAAAACATGTTTTTAGGATGCTCCATTACTCATAAGTAGTCAAGTCTCTAGTTATTCTACATGAAGATCAATAAAATCTCAACACCACACAGTAATGTAATATGTACATATAACATATTTTACGAGCCAGCTATTTTAGATATCTTTTAGAGAGTTGTAAACTGATTCTACTGTGACTATCTGCCAAGCCCTTAGCTTGTAAAGTTAGGTGTTTCAGTTATCATAAAAGAAAACTGCACAGTCCTCCAAGGCATAGGAATACTATAACTAAAAATGATCCTAAAAGCTTTGTATATAAAAATATCAGGACATTAAATTTCAATATCCCCAGAACATCCAGTTATAAATATATTCTTTGTCTAATTTTACCTGTGGGCTTGTTCATCCTCTACTTCTGGGAGATCTATAGGAAACAGGCAAGAGGGATACATCCCCAGTCTAATCTCAGATTTTTCTTTCATGGTATTCATTAAAAGGATGGGAGGTGTTCATCTCCCAACCATGCAGAACTATGACTTAGATCTCTTTCATCTTTCAAAGGTATGAATGAGAGGCATCATCATTCCCTCTGGGTTACTAAATACTGGTAATAAAACTTCAGTAGAGTTGGGCTGTTTAGGATTTCTGCAGAAAATTCTAATAGGTAATAAAGTCTTGGGGGCCACGTCTGCATGAGACATTTGCTGCAGAGCTGACTAATTAGCTGCATAGTAAAAGTCTCTATGTCTACATGTGCACCCCTATTAGGCTGGAGTAAACTAATTTACTCCACAGCAGGATAGTACTTGTATATACAGATAAAACATAGCAGTGCAGAGGATGCCTGAATGTTCAGCATGTGCAGAGCTGCAGACGGATCTGCGGTGCTGCATACTGCACATGCGTGCTCATCTGGATGTGCCCAGAGATTTCAACTAGGAATCAATAATGTTAAAAGCATTGACCTGTTGTTATTTTCCTGAGTTTTTGCAACAGAAGAATTTCTCTCTTATTTTTCTATAGTCAAAAAATGAGTGTAAACTAAATGTTGGCATTTTCTAAGGGGTGCCTTGAGGGTTACCATATTTCCACTATCAAAAAAGATAGCTCTGCTGCCGCCTCTCACTCCTGACCCACTGTACTCTGCCTCCCAGCCCTGCTGGTTCCCCTCACTCCCAACCTGCATCCTCCTATCTCCCAGCCCTGCCAGTTCCCCTCACTCCCAACCCACATGCAAGCACACACACATACTCTCTTTGTCTTTCTCTTTCTCTCTTACCTTCAAGCAGCTGCAGGGACCTGCACATAGAGCACATGATTCCCCAACAGCCAATCATCTGCCATCACTGCTCCCAGCCCCAAGCAGCCAAGCTGCAAGTGCTGGGGAAAAACAGAGTCAGAGTAAACCCTGGACATTTGCTTGCATTTTAAAAACCCGCCCAGACAGGACAACAGGGGACCAAAAAAGAGGACGTGTCTGGGAAAACCAGGACGTATGGTAACCTTACATGACCTAAAAAACAGTTATAGCTCCTCCAAAATTCACCTTAGCCCTATCGTAGCCACACCTCCCAGTACTGCCACCATCTGTCCACCCTGCACTGCTAAGCTTGCAAAAGTGCAGTACTCCTGGCCAAGGTTCCCTCTAAGCAGCGCACATGTGTGGCCACGCACGATTTAAAATCTTGCTGTGCATAAACTTTTTAATGCTGCGCACCTGCCCACAGCGGAGCTGGGCGAGGAGCGTGGCAGAGGCACCCGGGCCAGTGTGGGACACTTACCGGAGGTAAGGTCCTCATGAAGGACAGGCAGCAGCTCCTCCCCAAGGTGGGGGTGGGGCTGGGAGCCAGGGTTAGGGCTGGGGCTAGGGCAGAGTGCCTCCTCACTCCCTGAGGTGAGGTGGGGGCTGGTGCTGGGGAACTGCTCCACCATTTCTGGGGAACTGCTCTGCTCCCCAACCCCAATGCCATGTGCCTCCTTGCTCCCCAAGGCAAGGCAGGGGAGGGGGCTGGGGCGGGGGGCTGGCATAGGCTACCTACCACTCAGGGGAGCTATACCCTCAGCAAGAGAGAGATCCTCCTTAGTCTGACCCATCTCTGTACCAAAATATATGTAACTAATTTGCTTGTAAAAACAGTTGCAAATAAGACAGGTATATGAAGCAGTGTTTGTTCACAGGTTTATAAGCCAGAGGGGTGAGAGGAACTGATGATGCTGAAACCTCTCCATCATATAGAAACATTTGGCTAGGGTAATGTTGTTATGATTAATTTCATTTGGACTTTTACAATCTATTAATGGGACAGTATATTATATTTTATAAATGTATTATATTTACTATTTATAGATGATATAGAAATGAAAAAAACCTAGCATTTAATTGACTGCCTTGAGTTCTGACCCTAAAAGGAATCTTCATGGTTATAAAATACACAGTACTGGTACTCGCATTCAGTTACTGTAGGGGAAATTAAATGTAAGGGAAATAAAATAGTGACTGCTTGGGGAGCATCACCATAAATGCAGGGAAAGAACACACAAATAAGCAGTGGGCAAGAAGGTAATTCTGGGATGGACCAAAACAGCACGCACCAAAAAGAGGAGACAGGACCAATTCGGCAAGGGACTGAAGTGGCACACTCATGGACCAAAGTGGCATGCTGATGGATCACTACACGTTAGAGGGCACATTGCTCCTGGGAGGGGTACTGCCAATGTCTCCCTGGTGTGGTGGGGCTGGGGCTAGCCTTGGAGTGTGTGGGAGCATGGCAGGCTCAGCTGCACAGGGTGGGCAGGCGGTGGCACTTGTACTGGCACTGGTGCTGGAAGGGGTGGAGCCTCCCAGCCCAGCCCATCTCCCCACACCAGGAAGAGGCTGGCACTGCCCCCACTCCAGTGCATTGGCATCAGCTCCTTACCAGTAGGTATGTGTGCGCCTTGGAGCAGACAGCGGGGGAGGGACCTGAGGCAGTGCAATCCTGGCTGCTCCCCTGTCATCTGCTATGAAGCACTCGCACACACATACCTACTGCCACCAGCACAGAGCTGATGCCAGGGCTCTGGAGCCCAGTGCAGCTGTTTGTAGCTGATCCCGGGCTCTGCAGCTGGCAGTAGGCAAGCTGCAAACAGCTCCACCAAGCTCTAGAGCCCTGGCATTAACTCCATTTTGGTGGCAGCTGCACATGCACCTCACAGCAGACAGCATGGGAGGGGCCAGCATTGTACTTCCTCAGCCCCCTCCCCTGCCATCTGCTCTGAGGCATGCATACAGCCACTGGTGGTACACAGCTGATGCCAGGGCTCTGGATCCTAGCACAGCTGCTTGTAGCCTCCTGGCTGCAGCCAGCCCAGGCTCTGTGTAGCTGCTGTCAGCCATGGAGCCTGGGCTGCTTGCAGCAGGACTTGCAGCCTCCCAGACACATGCTGGGAGCAGCCTGGCCTCTGTGGCTGGCAGCAGCTGCCCAGAGCCTGGGCCGGCAGTGGCCTACCAAGCAAAACGTCCTTGTGGGTCATGCTCTGGCACATGTGCCAAGGGTTTCCTACCCCTGATACAGAGGATTATAAAAGAATAAATCTCCTGAATGCAATTCACCTCTACCTTCCTTTATGAAGCCATGCGTGCTCAGAAAAATCAGGATTCTCCAGCTTCATGAGAGCTCTGAAACAACCTAAATCCTCTTCATCTGTTGAAACAGCCAAAACCTAATGGCTCGGTTTTTGCAATTTTATATCCCCTTGTCCTTTCTCAGGAGTTGTCCTGATTATTCCCATCAGGTAATCATAGCCCCCTGCTGGGTAAATTTGTTGCCAAGGCAACCTCTCCCCTGACAAACCATTTCTCCCTGATACCAGTTTGCTTATTAGCTAGGATATTTGTATTTGAATAGTGAACCATCTTCATTTAACAGCTTTCTATTGTTAGACATGTTCCACCACCTGCTAGAATTTTCAATCCAATATGGAGGTAGAAAGAAAGAACATAGATTTTTTTTTCAAGGCTTACATAAACATGACATACATTTGCACCTTCATAAAAGCACAGAAAGTTCATAACTTCATAAAGAGTTGATAAACAGTAGAGACAGATTTGCCCAAGCAGATCTGGAAAATACTGGGTCAGCAGGATGTTTCCTCCCTCAACTTCTGTCCAATATGTACCCTTCTTTCCAATCTGAATCTTGCAACCTTCTCTCCTCTCTGATCTCTGTTCCAATCCCTTTAGAAAGGCAAGGGGGGAGAGGAATAATTTTGCTTCCCCTCCCAGGCATCATTCACAAATAAAACATATTTTTTTAAAAAATAGTTTGAAGGTTTTCAGTATTTAGCCACAATTATTATTCCCTTAAATAATTTCTCCTAACAGTCAGATTTTTAACATTTGCAGATTTTTGCCAAGGGTACAGTGTGAATTAACTACTTGGTGTAGTCAGGTTCAATAGTCACAACATTCACTCATAACTAACAGAATAGTCTTTCTGCACATTCATAGTGCTGTTCATTTAGCATATGAGCATTAGGAATACACCAAACTAGAAAGATGGAATAGCATCTTCAGTATTATTTCTCCTAGGTGAAAGAGGGTGCCAAGTATTACCAGAGATTAATGTAGAACAGTTGAGACCACTTGGGGTGAATCACAGACATTATTTTATTCTCAGATCCACCCAGGAAAAGAAAAGCAAAAATAAGAAAAAGAAAGCAGTAGTAAAATACCAACCTTACAGAATGTTGGTATTGAAGAGGGAAGCATCCTGGGAACCTCCTCTTTACCTGATCCCAGATTTGTATTAGTGTACCTTCTTTACATCTTTGCTATGAAGGGTGCAAAATCCTACTAAGTAGTTTGGGCTAGATTATTAGATTCTGTCTTTAAGCAAAACCCTGTGAGTTTATTCATATATAGCACTACTCTAGAAGTAACTGTGGGCCCTTGTACAGGTGATGAAGGGCCCTTATAGTCATGAAGAAATTTCCCTTTTTAGTGGTTTAATTGCCCTTTTTAACTATTTAATTTCATAATACTGTACACGTTCAGTGGCATACTGTAATTAAATTCTATAACAGCGTACACCTTTGGCGGTGTATTTTGATTTAAATGGCATTTTTTATGTAGCAAACTAAAACACATCCTAAGTATTTTAGTTTACTATGTAACAAATTACAGCTATGTTCTTCACATATACAAGGACCCTATCTATCTGGAGAAGGTGGTGGGCACAGTGCATAGGCTGCTGAGCACCCAGATGTGCTCGGGGAAGCTTGGATTTGGCGGGTTTCCAGTGCCCTATGCACCATTTCTGCCACCTTCTCTGGCTGCCAGCACACCCAGCCTCCCTCCTCCTTCCTTCCTGGGGCAGCCAGCCCATTCCTGGGAAGTCCCGGGCAGTGGGAATCTGGCAGGGACAGTGCACAGGGTGTTCTAAGCCTGCCAAGCCCAAGCTTCCCCAAGCACACTCGGGCTTACAGCATCCCATACAACACTGGATCTGGTAGGTGCTGTCTGTGAGCTGGGGCTGCACCCACACACCCAGCACCCTACCCAGGTGGCCCCAGGGGGCACCACCACTGTGGAGGGAAGCACTGCCCCCCCACTCAGGTCAGGGGCTGTGTGACTCAGTGGCAGCTCATGTGGGCAGGCTCCGCTGAGAATAAAAAATTAAAAGCAGTGAGGGACCTGATTTTTTTTTTCTCTGTTGGAGCCCGCCTGCATTCCCCACAGCTGGGGAGTGAGCTGCCAGCAGGCCGTGCAGCCCCTGAGCTGCGGCAGACCCTGGTGCTTCCCTCCATGGTGGTGATGCCCCCTAGGCAGCATCCATGCACTGGCACCCTGCCCAGGCAGTCCCGGGGGGCACTGCCACCATGAAAAGAAGCACTGGGGTTCCCCACAGCTTAGGGGCTGCATGGCCTCCCCAGCTATGGGAGATGCAGGCAGGCACCAGGAGGAAAAAAAAAAATCACTGTTTTTTTCTTCTTTTTTTTTTTCAGCAGAGCCTGCCTGTGTGAGCTGTGGGTGGGGGCCTGGTGGTTCCCTCCACAGTGGTGGTGCCCCCTGGAACTGCCCGGGCAGAGTGCCAGCAGGCAGGTGCTGCCCAGGGGTGTTACCACCATGGAGGGAAAGCACCCCCACAGCTCAGGGCACACTGGCATGTCACCCCCTAGCTGTGGGAGATGAAGACAGGCTACGGAAAAAAAAAT